TTCCAAGTTTGGACTTTCCGGACTTACCTCAGACCGTGCAACTATTGCATTGTCCTATTCAATTCTGCTATTCTCCCTCATTCCTATTTGGGCTGCTGCTTCCTTTCTATTCAGTCAGCTGGCCATTCCCCACTCCCATCCTCCTTCCTTCCTCCTTGGGCCTTGGCCCTTCACTCCTCCTTTGGGAAACACCATTGAGTCAAACCCTTGACCCTCAGTGTTGTTCCTCTTTCCAGCTCCCTTTGTCTCCTTTCAGAGTACCCTTGCTCCTTTTGATTCCTGTCAGGGCAACCACACCTGACCATACAACCCCAGAACCACCTTCCCTAACCTCCCCCCACTTCCCTCATCCTCCCATCTTTCACAACTACAGCCCGCATGCGAACCCGTGGGAAAAATCACGTGGGTCAAGGCGAGCAACTCGCCTTAACCCATGTGACACCTTTTCCGCATCGCGGGAACATGCTCGGCTTCTACCCATAGTCACGCTACGAACTGTACAGTACATTTCCTTTTATAGCAGCCAAGCGGGGAATAGGGAAACTTACCCTTCTTCTCAACTCAATCCCCGCTTAGGCAAGTTGTAGCTACCTTCCATAATACATGACAACTCAATCCCCACTTAGTGAGTTTGAGGAGCTTGGGATAGGATCCAGCACCTGGCTGCCTGGGACACCGCGAGTGTCCAGCTTTGAGGTAGGGCCGCCCCCGGACGGAGGCCGGGCCCTGACAATTCCGGACCCCTCCTTATATACAATGTACCTAGTAACTTGTAACCTCAGTCTGAAATCGAATTGATTTCCCCCCAAGAGACTTCCCCTTTGCTAGATCCGAAATTAGGGACCCCCAGGACAACCAGCAATGGCACAGCGCTCCACCTGAGTTGCTGAGGCCAAGGTCCTTCCATGCTAAGTCTCTGATTCCACTCCGGAGTCATCCAAATCTGCCCGATCTAACAGACTCCACCACCATGATTCCAAATCTGCAAAGTATGTCATCAGACCCTAAAACACCATTGGTTACCTAATGGTGGTGGTGAATGATTTGCTTTTCGGTGCGGTTCCCTGGGTTCTTTGCTTTGTTGCAGCCATTTTCAATTGAATTGTCACGTGAGCAATTTTCAGTTCCGCACTTGCTCACACTCAAAAACAAGGTCCAACACAAAGTACTGCATATCTTGGCACCCACATGAGCTAGCCTCTTGCAGTTTGCTGAAAAATGTTTGTCACTTCATTCCCTGTCAGGGCCCGGCCTCGGACTTGGAGGCTCCCTGACCTCAACCCCTATCTGACCTGTCCTCACACTATGCGGGGCATGAGATGAGAAGAAGGGTAAAGGTCTCATCTCCCCACATGGTTGCTATATAAAGGAATGGGTCACATGCCCACAACTATACAGCTCCTAGAGTTGTGTAGTGTGACCTGGAGGGAACATCCAGGTGGCAGTGCCCAGTAAGTGTGGGGACGTTCTGGGCGAGTTGCTCGCCCAGAACTGTGGCTGTGACCCGTGGGAACATTCTGGGTGAGCTGCTTGCTCAGAAAGTTCCCATGCTATCCTGTGTGCATGGATACACAACACAGAAAGGCAACAATGAAGGAATGGAAGGAAGGGATTGGTAGGGGAGTCTGGGGCACCCTAGGGCAGGGTGCTGAACCCTGACATTCCCTTGAGACCTTTTTGAGCAATAGTCGTAATTCTCATTTTTTGTGAGTTTAGGTTTTCCACCTTTATGCACGATTTCCTTGACAATGGCTTGGCAGAATTGGCAGAAATTTAGGCAGAACAGAGTACTACCCTATACCTTGGGTGCTTTTTCTTTGTTTGTTGGTGCATTTGATTTTTGATTTTTTATCATTTATTTGGTCTCAATCGCATTGAAATGTGTTTGTGCACAGTTTCCTTGACAACGGCTGGGCAAAATGGGCCAAAATTTAGGCAGGGAGGAGTGAAACCCTATACCTTGGGTGCTTTTTTTTCTTTTGTTGGTGCATTTTGTTTTTGTTTTGTTATCATTTATATGATCTCAATAGCATTAAAGTGCATTTATACACAGTTTCCTCAACAACTGCTTGGTGGAACTGGGTGAAAGCTGGGCAGTAAGTGTTAGAACTGGGCGAGGGCAGATGATTCCAGAGGGGAACCAGAGACTTAGCAAGGAGGGACCTTGGCCTCAGCAACTCAAGCGGAGTGCTGTGCCATTGCTGTTTGTCCATTTGGTCCTTAATTTCATAGGAGGCGAGCAGGAAGTCTCTAGGGGGCATTTCAGGTCGATTTTAGACTAAGGGACTAAAACGAGTATGTACAAGTGCCAATATAGAATGGAGAGGGCGAAAGCACAAGGGAAACAAAGGGAGTCCGAATCGGAACGAAGGCATCTGAATGGGAACAAAGGGATGACAGAAGTGGAGCAGTACCGAAGGTCATAGGGCAGAACCTGTGGTACATCTGAAAGGAGGTAAGGAGGGCGAAGCCCAGAGGGGCAGGAGGATGAGGGGAAGTGGGGATGATGACTAACTGGCTAGAATGGGAAGAAGCAGCAGTCCAAATAGGGATGAGGGGGAAATGCAAAAGATACATTACAAGTGGCGAAAGTGCCAAAGATGATCCATGGAGCTCGGAGGTTATGGAGGTTACGGAGGTTACAGAGGTGGGGTTGAAAGTCCAAGGAATATTGGCAATGATGTTTACGTAGTATGAGGTCACCAATGCAATGGACTAAAGCTGAGGTGGAGTCAAAGTCCAAGGTAGGAACTATGATGGAGTCTCGGAGCGAAGGTACGAGCGGTGTCCGAGTACGGAGTATGGGACAGCAGTGAGAGGTCGTAACTTGGCAGAGGGTCGGCAGAAGAGGGTCAGAGGGAAGAGAGCAGAGAAATGGGAGAGGAGTGGAGGAGAGGGAAGGTGTCAGGTCTGAAGGTGAGTATCAGAGCGGATGGGAGAAGGGTAGGAGAGTGACGGAAGGGTGGAGGTGTCATGAGGAGGAGTAGGAGGAGTGAGAGGAGGAGCAGGAGGAGGGTGGTGAGAGGAGAGGTGTTCGGTCCAAGGTGAGTATCGGAGCAGATGGAGATAGGGTAGGAGAAGGACAGCAGGGTGGAGGTGGCATGAGGGGTGAGAGGAGGTGTGGTGTCAGGTCCGAAGGTGAATATCAGAACGGACAGCGGTAGGGTAGGTGTCAGGGCACACACCCTGACTAGCCCGGACCCGGACCCGCATCCGGACCCGCTTCCACCTGCCACGCTTCCCGCATGCACGCATGCTCCGCGTGCCGCATGCTCCGGGCCCGGTTCCTACCCCTTCATGTGACTTCCGGGTATCCCCGGAAGTTTTGCTGATATTGGGGCCACTGTGGGAAGATGAGAAGTTAGCTTCCTTCTCATCTTCTTACCCACAGTAGGTTGTGCCCTGGATAGGGCTGGTTACACCTCAGGGCTGTGGACCATAGGGGAGGGTCATGGGGACCCAGGAGTCGTCCCCTGACAGTAGGACTCCAGAGATGGTGATGATGGGGGTCCGGGAGTCGGTTCAGGATCGAGTATGTATGGATATGACAGTAAGTAGTCTTACCCTTTTACCTCAGGTTCTCTTTCTGATTTCTATCATTTTCATCTTCCTTGTGGCTATCTTCAAGTACATCCAGAACACTACTACATGACATAATTTATGTATTGTTCAAGTGTACATAATGGCTCCTTCCTTCATCACATCTCATGGCACCTCTGAACTTTTCAAATGATGATTTTAAAGTCTAGGTATAGGGTTCACTCCTCCCTGCCTAAATGGCAGCCCATTTTGCCCAGCTGTTGTCAAGGAAACTGTGCACAAACACATTTCAATGCAATTGAGACCAAATAAATGATAAAAAATCAAAAATCAAATGCACCAACAAACAAAAAAAAAAAAAAAAAGCACCCAAGGTATAGGGTAGTACTCTGTTCTGCCTAAATTTCTGCCAATTCTGCCAAGCCATTGTCAAGGAAATCGTGCATAAAGGTGGAAAACCTAAACTCACAAAAAATGAGAATTACGACTATCACTCAAAAAGGTCTCAAGGGAATGAAGTGACAAACATTTTTCAGCAAACCACAAGAGGCTAGCTCATGTGGGTGCCAAGATATGCAGTACTTTGTGTTGGACCTCGTTTTCAAGCACAAGCGAGACCGAAAATTGCTCACATGACAATTCAATTGAAAATGGCTGTACTTTGGGTGAAGGGGTACTGGTAGCTAAACATCGTGCCAAGAGATGACTCTTCTCCTTGTTTGTTTTCATACTACTTGGGGGTGTCATTTATCTTCTATGGTCAATGAGCCATTGAGAGGCCATGCCATGATAGTATTTCCAGATGAATAACTTAAATCCGAGATCAATTTGATTCATTACACATATGATGTGCACCAACAGCAGAGCTAAAACAAGCAGTCAATGTCTACCACTTGATGCAGGGAATTTCATAAGACAGCTAGTAGTGCTGAGACTGCATGAGCTTTTGGCTCCGCTCTGAGTGATGATCATTCCTGGCCTGGGGCTGCATGTCATCGAGTTAACAACTTTGGACTCCTCCTGCACTGCACCATTGAACCTATTGTGTTGACTGTCTCTACAAAGCAAATTACCCACACTTGTTGCTATTTTCCCTGCTTGTAGCCCTCATGCCTCAGCATACTTGATCAATTTTTCCCATGATCCCCATTGCTGCAATCCAGTGAAGAAGTGCTGGTATGGTGTGGGAAAGGGTCTGCATTACTTCATCATCTTGGGAGTCCAGCTCACAAAGGAGGGTGATCCAATGACAGCACACAAACCTCAGCTGGGTCGACACCAACTCCCCAGGTTCAGGCTGGAGATTGGAAATGTCACGATTTATGTGGAAGTGCCATTCCGTTGGCGATTGGTCCAGTACCATGCATTTTCCCAGTAGCTCCATTGCCAACAACATGACTTCACATTTTGGAAAGAGCTTGAAAAATGTACTAAAGTAACTGGTAAATAAATCGGGCTGGTTAACCATGAGATGGCTCATAGTTGGCCCCAAACCTCAGCAGCAACACTTCCTGGACAATAGAAACAACGAACCAGCAATTGTATATGTGTCTGCAGATCAACAAGCAGTGAACATTGGCACGTACTTTGGTCAACCTGTATTGCAGGGACTCTTTTTCAATAGCACATAGAATTTGCGCAGCTGCAATGAGAGGCAGAGTAGGGAAGACCATAATAGCCTCTACACTGGCCCTTTTGTTTGCATAATCGAGGAGGTGGTCAAGTCGACCAGAAAGAGCAGCCTGTCAGGTCCCACATTTTAGCTCTGGGGCCATCGTTAGAAGTTCGTCATACATACTGTATCTGTGGCACTTGACGTCCAGAAACCTTGTGTTATAAATTCCCGCAATGGGACCTGGCAGTCCGGTCTGCGATCCAACCAGAGGTAGAAGTCCTTCCTGTCAGCTCGAGCGACATGAAAGATGAGGAACCAATGTTGCACTCCTAGAACATTACCATATCGCTGAACAGACACAATCCTAGCACTAACAGCATGAGGACTGTTGAATAAACTTTCACAAAAAGTTAGTACAGGAAATTCTCGATATGGCTGAGAGTCCAAGCATTCCATGAAGAAAGTGCCTGCCGATGCAATGCTTGCAACTTTTTTCCTGAAGGACGAGGTAAGAGATTGGTCAATTGTGGACAAGGTTGATAATGAGGTGGAGGAACAAGAAAAGGGGCCACTGACTTGGCTGCAAAGCAACAGTGCTTTAATGGAAAATGGGTTGTTGGAAGAAAGGTGTTCAGGCCCTGAGGAGGAAGTAATAGATAGGGCAACTGCAGAGGACACTGATAATGAAGTGGAGGAATGGGAAATGGGGGTGTTAAGTCGACTGCGAAGCAATGGTGCTTTCATGGAAAATGCATCGTCATCGTCAGAAGGGGGTTCAAGTGAGGGCTCAATGCCGGCATCGAGCTATTAGAGTCAAAATGAGTGAAAGTTCGAGATGTTACAAAACCCATCCTTCAAAGAGGAAATCATTGATGGAGGCTAGTTCAGGATATAAGGGAGGATCAATGGTCACAGGGCTTAGCGAAGTTGAACTGAAAACCAAAATGGTATCCACGTTATTGAAAGAGTCTCTGGCAATTGTGTGTTGGGATAGGAACCACATGGAGAGCATTCCTAATAAGGGTATCGAAGGCTTGAACAGCAAGGCTCACAGATACCACTCATTGCCAACAGAATCTACTGAATTTTCACCTGCATTCTGAGAGCCAGTAGCACTGCCGGGGGTTCCGGTAGCCTGGTGTTGTTGAAGTAGAGGTCTGGGCCGAACCTTCGTCCTCTGGAAGAATCAACATAGGAAGGTCCATGTCCCCAGATAGAAGAAATCGGAGGTGGAAGATGATGACTTGGAAATAGAACTAGGCGCCAGAGCTGTCAACATCGTGATATGGCCATTGCCGTTGGGAGCCAGAGTGGAGGGAAAAAAGAGAAAAAGGTACCAACCTACTGCAGATTATCCTCAACAATTTGAGACTTCAAGTGGCATCGAAGTTGCGGTTGGGATATCCAATCCAGTTAAAATTCTTGATATTTATCAGAATGATGGGGGAGATTGGCAACGTCTACAGAGCAGAGAGGCGAAGATTCGAGAAGACACACAGTGAGGGTGTGGAACTACATTGGTAATATCAGGAAAACAGCCAGGTGTATGCAGGCAGGGAAAGCAGCTCTTCTCAGACTTGATCCTATTGCTGAGTGTACTGCAGCTGGGCGGCAGAGCATATCCATACTCACACCAAAGCTTCATGCCTGAGATGTGCACCTGTATGTAGTGTCTGTGTGCAATTGAGTAACACACATGTATTGGATGGTTAGCCATTCAATGGCAAGAGGTTCCCAAATCGAGCATCTCCAGTTGAAAGCCACAGCCATGCCAAGCACTTGAGATCCGAGCTGGATCCCATGAAGGCTACAGGGGTCAAGCCCGTTCTCTGTCACTGTCCAGTCAACTGTGCGCTGAAGGAGTGGAGCTGGATCACCTTATGTAACCAGTTTCCTACGTCCAATAACGATATTAGAGTTTGTGCTGATTTGCATACTGACTGTGTTTTGGTTGCCAAATATATAATTGTTCACTGTCTAAACAACAATAAACACCCCCAACGATCTCACCTGACGTATAGATCGTCTATGGATAAAATTCTATATTGAATTTACTATGATTTCTAGTCAATATTACACCTAGATATACCACTTTTAAGTAGGACGTGATTTTCCTGATAATTTACTGAAGGAAAACTACTAATAAAATAATTCTGCAATAAATGTTCCTCAATACAGAAGTGACCAAACTGCACTTTCTATCGCTTAGAGTGCATGCTAGTTATCTAGCAGGTTCAGGATCGCTCACTTTTCTCCTGTGGTGTGATAACCAAGTATTGCTGAGAGATTATTCAATTAAGAAGTCCCTCCACCAAATTCTCACTAATTCTCACTATGACACTTTTGTTCAGCTGTGTCTAACTGACCCTAACTCACGCTTAGAGTGACGTGTTAGTTTTATATTAGCTAACAACTAATATTTGCTTTTATCTTTTGGAGCAAACGAACCAACCACTGGTGAGGAGAATTAAACTTATATTTCTACCTGAGGTTTGAGAGGGGACAGAAGCGGCGGCCTTTTATGCTTTTCAGAGCCCTCTCTACTCCCATGCCTCGCACTAGTTACATGTGCTACATTTGTATTATAGATGGTTCTAGAATGATATAGGGGCTTGGGCTGTGTAAGCTTAATAATGGACTTAGGACATGACTCAGCAATAAGTAATTCAGTTCTTTGTCTTTTGGGCCGATCTTAGCGGGGTCTTGTAGCGCTAAAGCTATGCTCTACACCGCCTTAATTACAAACGGTTATCTTTAGAAATGACTCAGCTATAAAGGAACTTTCTAGACTGTTCTCTAATTCACCCCTTTTTGCGAAACCACATCATTACTAATGTTCTAGAGCTTTCCCAATTAATTAACTGATCCGTGGACTTCTGAATTACTTCATGCTTATGATCCGAAATCCAGATCATCAATCATTTCTTTGTTCCGATTTATTTGAGCTTAAAATCAAAAAGTTTTGATGAATCATGGGAACATATACAAGATCCGGTTTTTTAGCATTTTCTCCTCTTCTGATGCGATCAAAAACTGTCCGCCCGCGCCGGGGAATACTCTGTCATATGGTATTTGGTCCGCCAGACTTCCGGGCGCCAATATATTTTCCTTGAGTCACATTACTTTGTGTAAGAATTAGCAAATAAATATATATGAATTATAAGGTGTTTCGCCGTTTGAGCGATATCTCCGTCAGTTTTGAAGCTTTTAGAATGAAACAAAACCGTGGATAAAGTTTAGAAACTGTCCTTTCAGATGGTAGAAGGATTACAGTTAAAGGTTTACTGGTTCCCGAGATATTCACATTTCTTTCCCAATGTTCCTTCTAATTCTGCTGTCTATGTGCTATTTTCTTGTTGTAGGGATCTATTCTTTGAATATTACACCTATTCCAGGTTCTAGGCATGCTTGTAGTAGATTAAATCTCATGCTACATGGGTGTGGATAATTTATAATGATCTTCTAATGTCTGTCCAGTCTCATAAAGATCATGAGATCTGTTAAACATCTGAACTTGTCACCTGATTGTTGACTATTCTGATAGATCATTGTTTTATTCTTTGAATATTATTTCTCCTACAGCACTGCAAGTGTATGAACATCAGCGCAAGTCTCAGCTTGCTGTATTTGCTCAGCCCGGGGGCGTTGGCCCAGATACTCCATTATAGACCCACTATGCAAGCTGGCCAATCTCCGGTAGATGAGTCCGCTCTTCGTTATTCTCCACCTCTTTGTCCCAGCATCGTCCACTCTCAATCACTATGTGCTCTCCTATAAACCTGTGGCGTGGTATGGACGCTGCGTGACACCCCTCGGTGGAACATCTCCATTCTACCCTGTCATAGACCATCTGCAAGGGATCCTACACAAATTCCTAGGTACTGCACATCAAATTGGGGTCTTACGTACCCCTCTCAATATTCATGTGCATGATTTCCTCCATTTTTACCATCTCTCACACTCCCTGTAAATTAGCCCAGTGGTAGATTTATCTGTTCAGGTATCCGAGTGCGGACCTTATATAATGCCCAATGAGAGGCTAAGTGTTCATTCATGAGTCGCAGGTCCACAGGGAATCAGATAATCAGGATTGGTCATCATGAACGGGGCATTGGGATGATGCAAGGAAATGATGATGTCAATTCAACACGTCAAAAGGAGCAATTACATGCATATGCCAAGAGCCTGCTTATATGTAGTAAACTCTGAACAGGTTCGCCTCCGATCACTAAAAGTTAAAAATTAGTCAAGTTAGAAAATAGTATTGGCAGTTGCGATCCTTGTATATGCCCAGCAAAGTTCATGGTCATACCATGCAAGTGCTAAATGGAGGGGGGTACAAGTCCATCTAAATTGATGAACGCGATCATCCCTCCCTCTCCACCAATGCTGACATGGTTACCGTGTTCCGCGATTGGACAGCTAAGCTTAAAGTAATCGGGTAGCCAACAGATGTGCAGGGCAAGGTTTTCGTGCTCGATGCAAAGAGCATTATGATCAAGAAAGAGATGGGTGGGTGAAGATTTGCAGAAGGATGTTGAAATTGGGTTGGATACGTCACTTAACTTTGGAAAGCTGAAATATTTTCTCTCTTTCTGATTGGACGTGAAGTATTGAAGCATCGGTGGAAAATAGCATGTGGTGGGGATGAAAGTTCTCATTGAGCTGTGTCTGCTCAATACAACTCATGTTGGCAATGTCCCAGGCACACACTCTGCCGTCCTTGGAGGCTGAAACAAGATGGCGTCCATCAGGCGAAAATTTCACACAGGATATGGTGTCAACATGACCTTTCGTTGCCTTTGGCCCTCAAGTGGGTGCTTCCATTGTCACATCCCAGACATGTAGAGTGCCATCCCGAAATGCCGAGGTCAGATAACAACCATCTGGCGAAAAATTCACAGAGGTAACCCGATCAGCATGCCCTTTCAGCTCTCGAAGAGGTGCTCCTGTTGCCACATCCCAGATGTGCACTGTGCTGTCATCTGAGGTCGAGGCCAGATGATGGCCATCTGGCAAGAAATCCAAGGATTTGATGTCATTGGTATGTCCCTTCAGCTCATGAAGCGGGACTCCTGTTGCCACATTCCAAACATGTATGGTATTATTCGACAAGGCTGAGGCCAAATAACATCCATCTGGCGAAAACTTCACAAAATAGACGCTGGAGGTATGTTCCTGCAGTATTCGAAGAAGTGCTCCTGTCGATGCATCCCAGATACGCACGTTGCTATCATCTTAGGCTAGATAACGCCCATCTGGTGAAAAGGAAACAGAATAGGCAAAGTTATCATGATCCTTCAATTCCCGGAGGGGCTCCCCTGTTGCTGTATCCCAAACTTGCACAGTGTGATCATGCGAGGCCGAGGCCAGACAAAGGCCATCAGGAGAGAATGTCACAAATTTCACCACGTTAGTATGCCCCTTCAGTTCTTGAAGGCATGCTCCCATTGCCGCATCCCAGAAATGCACAGTGTGATTACCTGATGCCGAGGCCAGATGAATACCATGGTGAATATGCAATGGAATTGGCCTCACTAGTATGTCCCTTCATTTCCCTCAGAAGCACTCTCGTCGCCGCATCCCAGATGCGCACGATGCCATCCCCCATCAGCTGATCGGATACATCCGACTCATCATCTGAGTCAGGTGTTGTCTCGAAGGTAGCACATGGCATCACCCTGGCTTCCTCATGGAATATGGGCGACCTGACAATCTCAACCTTGTGGGTAAGTACATCATATGCCTTGTACCCAGAGAAATTCTCAGGGTACCCCAGGAACTTGGCTGGCCGTCCCTGCTCACCCAATTTATGAGCCCCCAGATCCTTTGGTTGGTGGACGAACATATCAGCAAACCAGACCCTCATGTGTGAAATGGTCAGCTTCTTCCCATGAAGCCGTTCGAAGGGGGTCACCTTTGTGGAGGCATCTATTGTCCTGTTCATGGCGTATACTGCTGTGGCAAGCGCGTCAGCCCATAAGAAATTAGGGGCCTCAGCAT